AAAGAAAGAGCGTTTTTTGGAAGCGCCAGAAAGCTGCGTCCAATAATGAAAGTGTTCTATAAATATGGCGTTGCGTCTAGCTTGGACCGAGATCATCGATGTTTCGAATGCATTATGCGGATTAGAGTATTCTGTTCAATATCTTGGTTTCCAACAGTTCAGTGGCACCGAGAAAACATCGGTAATCGGTCCAACTCCATTTTCCACTGATTCTATGAGAATTTAGAGGGGAATCTGGGTTTTCCCCAATATCGTCGGTCATCCAGTTGATCAGCCATAGCGGAGTTCTAACTGCCGATATTACAACCTGGTACAAACCAGTGACTATCTGTCATTTAACCACCACCACTGCGACAATAAATAGATGTTTTCAGTGATTAATGGAGGATATTTTCCCTCATCTTCCATCCTTTTTCATTATATTATATACTATTCTTCCATCCCAAAAGTATTTCCAGAGCGTTCAATCATTTAATATTTGATTTGTCCGTCCGGTTCAGCACACTTGCGATGGATATTCGGAAAGTGTTTCAACGAGTAAACTACGGAAAGACTCCAGAAGCGCCTGTTCCGACTATACCCAATCAGTTGATGTGCAGCGTTGCCCACTTGGTGGTCTGAAATGTCCAGCCCTATATTTATTCGGGCATTTTCTGCACACGTTTACCAACACGTGGTCCGAATCAGACAAACAAGTTGCGTTTCATAGTTTAGTTCATCACTGTTTCGGTGAAAATTTTTGGCACCGCTTGACGACTGTTGTATGCGGTGCTCCAGGTGAGTACTGAGTTCAATCCTGTTTTTCCCCAATAATCGACTCGCTTTTGCTGGATTTTTTCCACTGAATACCGCGAATGCTGTTTCTCTTTTGGAACTCCAATAATGAACAGTAGCTAATTCAGGATGGATTGCGCGAAACCCCCGTCAATGAAAATTTTGTGTATTTTGATATATCGGTTTCTGAACTGGTTAAAAATATATTGATTGCACTCTTGGGTATAAGATTTTCCTTATAGTATCATATAATCCTATGTATACGCCTAATACGGCTTGGGTACATAGTATTGGAGTAAGTATGATTTTCTTTTATATATATATATATATATATATATATATATTTATGGGATGTGGGAACTAGGTGTGAATACATAGGCGGGGTAACCGATAGTAACCACCACCTAACTCCTCGTTAATTTATATTGTGATTAGTTTTATATTTCTACAGTTTTTGATAATGCGTAATGTGCATGTAAGTGAGTATGCACTATTAGTCACCTCCGATAAAAGCTGCTCAGTGAGTTTGGGTAGAAATGGTACCTCGTCTTCCACGATAGGATCCCGAAGATGAATTGATTAGTGCCCGACTGGTAATCAAGAGCCGCTTAATGCAACTGATCCTTTCCGTGTTCTAGTGTGGTTTATTATGATCCAGGCCTCCCATCACTTCAGTCAATTCGTTTGTGCCCACCGAGTCCGTTTGAACGCTTGGAATTTTATGAGAAAAACAATTCCTGATTTTAAAGTCGAAAATGTGCGTTGCATACCACCTGGTGTTTTAATGTTGTGCCAATCTAAAAATTCTTTGTCACCCTTAGTGCCCATTAACAATCTTCATCCTCTTCACATCGCTTTGATTTAGTTGCTGCAAAATTAGAAGTAAAAAAAGTAAAACTTCACCAAATGCATGTTTATTATGAGCAAACTGGCAACTTATTTATTGTTACATTTATACAATTACACCCTTCGATGCAATTATTCCTCTTATTCTTCATGCCATATCTCCAATCAGTCGATTTGAGAATGTGATAGGCTTATCACTCCACACTGGTTAAAACCGCTATAGTGGGGTTGATATTTTGTGAAGTGATAAATCATCTGAAGTCACCTTGTTGAGTTGTCATCCAGCCAAATTACAGGCTTTTCTTGATGTTTTTGCCGTTGGTATGATCATGTTTCAAGCGTATTATGCTGGGCAAGACTCCTCTGACCCCGACTGCCAGTCTCACCCTACGTTAGTATAGCATGGAGGATGTTAATATTCTTTCTTTTAGCGGATGACGTGATGGCAATTATAGACAAGTTTCGGTTGACCTCGGTCAACTTCATAAACACCGCCGTGATATCTTTCTGTTCATGAGGGTACAACTGTACGCTGTAGCATTGCAGTCGTTATTGCTATTTATCACGGAGATATGGCTGTGGCACACATTGTTCAGGAGCCGATTTTCGCACAGGATTGTGAGTTTGATGAAAGGAGTAATCTGGAATTTAGGAGAAGAGGAGGTGAT